CCCATTTAAGTGTTTCCAGGTATGTTTTTACCGGTTTTGCAACGTGTGGGCGAGCATTGTCGTGCAGCAAGATGACTTTATCGTGTCTTTCGAAGTATTCCGACTGTTTTTGCTTCAATGCACGGCTCAAGCGCATCAGTTGCCGTCGGTAGAGATCTCCAGTAACGGTTTCATGCGGTTTTAGCAGTTCGTAGTATATGACACCCTTCTGATCCCACCAAATACAGAGCAGGAGCTTTGAGCCATGGATATTGGGCTTTGCCACTGATGTTGATGGTTCGCCGGGCTTAACCCATGACTTTCTGCGCTTTGGATTGTCATAATGGATCCACTTTTCGTCACCGGTAACAATCCGATGCAAAAAACCTTTTCTTTTCTGCCGTTGAAGCAGCAGTTCGCACGTGAGAAAACGTCTCTCAATATCCCTTGGTTTCAATTCATATGGGACCCAATGTCCTTCCTTCTGGATCATGCCCAAACTTTTAAGACGTTTTCCTATTGTTGAGAAGTCAACTTCCAATGACGTAGATAATTCTTTAAGTGTTTGACATGAGTTTTCATTGAGCAGTGCCTGCAAATCGTTATCTTCAAATTTTTTCGGCTGACCAGGTCGCTCCTTGTCATCCAAGTCGAAATCACCAGCTTTAAAACGTGCAAACCACTTCCTACACGTTTGCTCAGCCAGAGCATGTTCACTATACACATCCACTAAAATACGATGAGCTTCAGCTGCACTTTTGTTCATATTAAAGTAATGAAGCAAAACTCCCCGCAAAAATACTTTATCTGGCACAAATTTTGACATATTCAATGAATTATACAGTATTGTTATTTATGATTTCAAGAAAGGTTATGTACGGCAAATGACGTCCTATGATAGATGTTTACAATGTATACAGAACTATAGGTAACAACGAAATAGTGTACTGCTTGTGCCATCTCTTGTAAAACGCTACGAATTAATTCCAACACCTAATATTATTAGATATATATTGAGAGATCTATAGGAGAAATTAAATTTTATACTTTCTTTTTATAGATCTTGATACTATTTTGGGTCGATCCAGCAAAACTACCGTTTATGAGACTCAGAAACGTTTAGCCACTCTAAAAGATCCTACTGATGAAAATGTACAAAGACTCCTTTTATTCAGCAGTAATCGGATAAATGCTGAAACAGCAAATAATGTATGAAAAATTATGTTTTATAAATTTTGAACTTTGATAAATTTTTCGTGTTTATATTCTATACTGTTACATTTTGTGCTCTTGTACTGTATGATTTAAAACAAATATCTAAAGAAATGGACAAAGACACTTAAACATTTATTTAAAGTTTTAAGGAGAATTGTTTAAATTAGAAGTATGAACTTGTTGCAGACTATGTATAGTCCTCGAGTATTCTTGACTAATCCATGAAATATTTTGTAGTTATTGCAACGTGCTGTAGGAAAGAAATACATTCAACAAGAAAAACTCAAGAAATCAGAAGAAACAGCTTTTACAGAAGAAGACTTCAAGAACTTTGAACAAGAATATGTGGAATAATATTGATAATAACATTGAATTGTAAGAAATAGCACAATGTGTAAATTAACAAAATCAAAATAGAAATGTTCAACAATGTTTGATAGTGATCGTCAAAAGGGAAAAGTAATATTAATATTAACATTCGTCTTGTTTCTCTATTATACCGTGTGGGTAATCGGTCTACCGTTCATCGACGATGGTAGATTAAGATCGCTTTTTTACTCGCACGATTTGGCTTTGATAATTCCCGCGAGTCTCGGGCTAATTTTCATCGGTGGTTTAATACTCTTTACCATATGCCATGTGAAATCACACTTGTTTCATAATAAATAAAAAATATGGAGTAGCAAGTTGTCAAAACATGCAGCGATATCATCGTCAACTATATTATCGTTGTAACATTGCGTAATCATTATATTGCGTTTTATATCACTCATATATACAACTTGTGATATACATGGATGAATGTTATAAAAAAGAATAAAATAAGTATAAAATTGTATAATGAGAGGGAGATAAAGAGGAAGAGATTACGTCATTCAGAGTCATTCGAACGTTATAAACTTACTAATAAACTCTCTTATTTACACTACATCAAGCACTACTACGGTACTCCTGCAAGCAAATTAAAAAATGGCGAAGCAATGGTTTGTCGTTGGTATATCTGGTGCAACCTGTAGTGGAAAAAGTACATTGGCTAATAAGATCCATGATTATTTTCCAACATCCGTTTTGGTATGTCAAGACAATTATTTTTTGCCACCAGACAATCCACATCATGTTAAGATACAGGAATTGAATCACCTAAATTGGGAATTATCAACAAGTTTGGATATGCAAAAAATGTATTCAGATGTTATAAGGATACTTCAGTCTCCCGAAAAAAATCCAACCGATTCAAAGACGTTATTGATATTGGATGGTTTCTTGCTCTTCGAACATAAGGCCATCACAGATTTATGTGACTGTAAATACTTTTTAACGTTGACAAAGGAACAATGTTGGAAACGAAGAAAAAATCGTATATATGAGCCGCCTGATGTACCGGGATATTTTGACAAAATAGTATGGCCCGAATTTGTAAAGTACAAAAATGAAGTTATACAAAACAATGAGCTGTATGAAACTGTAACATTTATCGATGGATCGAAGGATATGGAAGAAATTTGTGAAATGGTTCTCAAGAAAATTGGTCAATTATTATCTTAAAAATGTAACTCAGTTTAACTCTTCTTGTGATTAAATTTAAATTATACAAGTATCATCAGCCTGAAACAAAAAAAGAGAAGTTTTCTTTTACACATTCCGAAAGATACAAAAAATTAAATGGACATTGTGAAGATATTTAATATTGCAAATAAAAAATTTTCCATAATTTATAAGCTCTTTGATTAGATACATACATATATAGTGTCTACTTTTAACGTTTCATATAATATTTACCAATCAACTTGTATATATGCGATTACACATATATGTAAAACTGAATTTTTAAGTATTATTAAAAGTATAGTAATTTACAAGAAAATATTGCCATATACTAATTTTCAGTTATAGTTATATGTATATAATAATTCTGGATATGATCAAGTTTTGGATATATTACAAGCTGACTAGCAATTTAGAACTATCTTGTACAAAATGAATTATTTATTATTTTACAACAATGGACATGTATCATGAGAGAATACTTTAAAGAAGCTGACCACTTGATACGCGCGTGGATAATCATGCATTTATATAAACCTAGTTTTAAATTTTTATATGTTACAGAGATTTTGATAAATGAATAATATTGAATGATTGCTATTTCGTGAAGATATAAATTGTATATAATTAATATAATATTGGTAGTAAAATATTTTCACATTAATTTGTATGATTGTAAAATAATAATGATAATGAAATAATATCTCTGTAACGTACTACATGTAATATAATATACGTAACATAATATATGTACATGTATCATTATAATTTATAATTCAACTTATATGTAAAACCTATATATAAACGAACTCGTATTCATAAATTGTTTACAAAATAGACGACACTCAAGTCGCGAAAATATTTTTCTAATTACTATCATTCAAAAAACAGCTTTCAGATATTAAAGTCTTGACTCTCAACAAGCTTTCTTATCGTGATTTCTTATTATTTTTTAATAAAGATAACACACAACGACATGTATATGTTACATAGAGTAGGTGTTTTGTTTAATTTGACCTTGCGCATTTGTGACATTTGTCGGTGCAGGTCCAGCGGCTTGATCATCCTGATCGTTTTGTCCGCAAGCTTTGCGAACATATTGCGGGGTAAGAACAACCTCCTCTTCCATCTCTAGTACTCGTTTGTCTAATTCTGTGCATGCTGCCATTTCCTTCTCAAAATTTGCAAGCATTTGTGGTGAATTATATTTTTCAGGATCGTCGTGAAATACTACCATACCATCTTTTTGATTAATAGTCGCAAAAATTTCGCCATCTTCAATCTAAAAAATACAACTCGCTAATGAACAATATCAATTTGTATTTTACAGGCATTGTATATAATGCTCTACAGTATTAATTAAATTAGAAAATCAATCTTTATTTACTTTATAGATTGACTCTTTATTTGTGACTAAAGGAAAATGACTAAAAAAGTAAAAAATAAAATTTTATCAACGTTATCATTCATTTTATTTTAAGTTTTTTTTTTTAAGAGAGAAGAAAAGAATATATTTATATTAGAAAGAAAAATACTAAATTTATCAAAGAATTTATGACTCAACAATTTTTCAGATATTTATTTATTTATTACACAATATGCAATATAATAGAAACTCACCATATTTAAAATATATTTTTCCGCTTCAACAGGACCCGATAATTGAACTCTACTCGCAACGTCACTTAAACTAAGCGTTAGGAAAGTCTTGGTCAGCCTCTGTATGTTTTTCTTATACAAGTAAGCAAGCACTTGTTTTACGAGTCCCAGATTATGATCCCTCACAAATACTTGCTGATACTTAGTAATAATGCTCTGTACTTCTTCACAACTATTAACTAGATAAGCTGTAGCCAATTCTTGATATTGTTGGCTTAATGGTTTGATGTATCTGTTAATCACCTGGCTCGTATATCTCGGTAAATTTAATACTTTCCCATGTAATATCAGCGAGATCAAAATGTACTTTTTGTAGGCTTCTAGCATGATGTAGCTAACTGCCATCGCGGGCGTTGTCACGCATACTTCAAAAAAATACAATGCCCGATCGTAATTTTTTAATGCTGTATATATCATGCCACCATAATAATAGTATAATAGGAAATATTTTGAATCAAATTGACCTCCTTCCTGGCTAATGCCTGTGACATCTATGTCGAGAAATTCGAGTGCTGGTTTAAAACATTTGGATAGAAGACATAATTGACAAAGGTCCGCGTGTATTGAGGTCAGCTGACTGTCAAAAAGTTGTATTTTGCGTATTGCACGGCACAATAATTGGATTCCACGTAATGGCATTTTTGACTCAACTAAACTCTGTGTAAACAGGTGACATAAATCTGCGTCTATAAGAAGAATTATTAATGTTGCACATAATGAGATAAAGAATAAATATAATTGAAGAACAAACTAAACGAATATCATTAATACATTCGGAGAATTCAACATCAACTGAATATTTTGATAAAATAAATGTATTTATTGTGATGTAAACATTTAATATCAAACATGCAATGTTGTAAATAAATAGAGTAAATACTCGTTTTTGCCATTTTCGGATTTTAAATTAAAATTTGTAATTAAAAAATGCATGTATAATTTTATTACAAAATTTTCCAAATTAAATTATACAAATTTATGTATAACTCAATTTTAAATATTTCTTTGAATAAAATTTGTTAAAACAAAAATAATTTTCGAAAAGATTTTAAAGAAGATATTTACTTTTTTAATAGATAGAAAAATTAATGGACTAAATTGGAAGGAGCAAGTGTAAAATGACAAACAATTTCTAAGTTAAATCAAACTTTTTATATATATGGGATAATAATGCTTTAATGATACTGTCAACAAAATCATAACAAAAGACTTTATATACTCACATGTATCTGGTGCAAATCTAACTTGCTCTCCATTACAGCCAATAATAAACTCTTGAACCTGATTGAACAAGAGTTTATGTGCATCAGGATTATTTCCGCCGTTAGGATTAGGCAATGAAAATTTTGCACAGAGCACTGCCAAGATACCTAACGAATGTTGTTGCAGATCTAATGTTTCCAAAACATTGTCCAAGTGTTGTCCATTCTTTGTTAATACTTCGACGCTTTTGCTTATGATGTCATATAATTCTCTAAAATTGCCTGTATGTGCAAGTAGATTATACAGTGGTAACGAAATAAAAATTCTTTTCTAAATGTTATCTAAGCTATTATTATTATTATTATTAAATACACGAAATACGACTTGAATTTTAAAAATCTAAGCATTTTTTTTTTAAGAAGTTCTCTACGTTGGGAATGCTTTTAAGATTTGTTTCGCTTTTTGCTTTTGCGTTTTGAGGTTAAGTTCCATGCTTTCACAATACATAACCAGAAGTCGGTCATACCTTGCTTCGAAAGCGTTCGTACGTTATTTACAAACTGCTCCAATGCCGATGCCATTACTGCGGATGCTCTCTTATCATCACCTTTGGTCAACGATTGATGAGTACCTATTCACAGAACATTATATTCGCGAACAAGCATTCTGAAATGACAATCACGTTTTAAAACAGAGGTAGCTGCCGTAGCTGCTCTGCTGCTAGCTGGTGAAATGAAGTGTAACACGAAATGGAACGATAATGCTAGCTACTGTAGAATTCGAGATTTATTCAAATCGACTAATCACTTGCCCTTATAAATTGCACATAATAGAGAACAATTAGGAGTGCGTTCCGTTTCACGCATGATACGCATGATGTATCATTTTATCTTTTTTTAATATTTGGTGAAACAACAAGGATAAAATGATATATCATGTGCATCATGCGTGAAACGGGACGCATCTTAGGACTTCTTTTAAATTTAATATGTGATTGGATTATTTTCGTACGCTTTTGTCTCATTATCAGTACGATACGCAGCTGATAGTACATCATTTTAGAACGCGTCATAGAAAAAGTTTTTTTCTATTTAAAATATTTAAATGGCTCCTGTCATTTGTCAAAGATCATTCCAACAAACGAGAATAGATTGAAATAAATTGAAATGGATTCAGATTTTCAGAAATATTGATTCACGAATGTTAAAATGGATGCTTTTCAATCCTGAATGTATTTTTATTCATTTATAGGAATTGTATGAAGCATATCTCTATGCTTTTCAATCTAAAAATAATATTAGCTTTTTCTATGCACAACACACACATTATGAATACTGTTCAATTCAAAATTTTGAATAGGAAATATTAGGTTTGATGGCATTTCTACCAAAATAACAGTGAGAACTTAGTTGCGCACCTAATACAATTTTTCAATCCAATTGCATTCAATTGAATCTAATTAAATCCAATTGAATCTAATTAAATCCAAAAAAAGTATTCGCTATTTAAAATACGCTTTCGAATAGAAAAAAATTTTAATCCATTTTAATCCATTCTCGTTTGCTGGGATGGTCAACTAGCTCAGTGGTTGATTCAAATCAAACGTACACTGACAGGGCAGATCGAAAGGGATTTTTCTTATTTTCTGTAAACAATGTTAGAATCTAAAAGTGTACGATTTATCACGATAATCCCTACATGTACTAGCAATGAAAGCTTATAGCTGTGAAATATACATATAACCCAATATTCATATGTATACTCATATTACTAATATTAGTCAATATTATTTAATATTGATCAATACTTTTTATTCCCAGCAAACGAAAATAGATTGGGAATTTTTAATCTCCGTATTTTAAATCCATAAATATGGATTGAATTCCATATAAATATTTTGATATATGTAAAAATAAATAAATTAAAGTAGTAATTATATGAAATTCTATAGTTATTATTTTAAAACTTTTATACAAAAAATATACGCTATATAATAAAGGAAACATGTTAATATAAAATATACATAAAAGCGATTAATTTATTAATTAAAAATAAGGAATTTATATATAAAAGAGAGAGAACACTTATTTTGTATATATTTACGTATTTTGTATATATTTTCTTTTTATGTTTCTTTTAACTATTAAATGAAGGAGAATTCTTATGATATATTTTTACAATACAACTTTTT